GTAACCTACTGTACAGCAGAGCGACATACACGACTTACCCGCTTTTTTTTTTTGTTTTTCTCGATTTTTTTGAAAACTGTTGRAAAATGTTTACTTTTGACCTATATAATGCACCAAGGATCACATCGGAAACCACCCCCAAAGTTTGAAATCGAAGCTTCGACTAGTTATGCTGTACACAGACACAAAAAAAAACACATCATTGTAAAGTCAATACATTCATGACTTCGTTCAGAATCTAAAAATGTTTAAAAAGTAATCAATAATAATTATGAATGATTTTATGCATTTTAATGAATCGTAAAAACGTATTATATATTGAAATTGAAATGGCTCTAATTAGTCTTATTCTGTCAATTTTGAATTTAGAGCCATCATAGTCGATTCATAAAAATTACTAAAAATAAGCCTACTCGAATATGTTGTTCTAAATAGGTGTTGCTAGAAATAAAAATATTTTGATGTGCACGCGCATGCGTAGGTATACCGAAATAATACAAATTTTGAAATGTATCTATAAATGCGTATTTGTATACCACAATACCACTGACTTGTGAAAAAAATCGCTTTATTCCACTATTGTAATCCGGACGAGAAATTTACTGTTCCCTAAATTGTTGAACACGCGGTATTTAGAGAAATTATTTTTTTAGATTTCAGTAAGAATAACTATGGTATTACGAGAAACTTTGAATTAAATTTTCTTAAATAATTTGCAATTTTTCGAGTTTTTGAATTTAAAATTTATAATTATATGTTTATAAAAATATGATAAATGTATACTACAAATTAATTTGTAAATTTTGGTGACTGATTAATTTGAACAGAGCACTTGTAGATAAAAATTATAATAAAAATATTATGACAATGTATTTTTGATATTTTTTAAATTTTATTAGAACAAGATACATTATTTCTCTTATCGTTTAACATTTTTTAGTTTTTAGAGCTTTGAGAAATTGTGAAATTGTATAGCTCTACTTTTATTCGTTTTTGAACAATATCCAAAACACAAAATTAATTTACGACTAGAAAAGGAGTTTTGAGTAAAAATACATACCAAACAACTCAAACATAAAATATTTTATTTAACAAAGAAATCAGTTAATATTATGTTAATTCAACTATTTTGCTTGTAAAACATTTTGTACATAGTTCATAAGTATACTAATGTAGTAATGTTCAAATAAAAATGTTTTTTATAGGTATTCAAATTTATTTTTCAAAATAAACTTGAGGCAACATTTACAATTTACAGAAATGTTACAACAAAACAAAATATTAATAATTATTACTAAAAAAAAAACGCCCCTTGTTTGAAAATACACAATTATATAATATAATGCTACTAAAAATAATAATAATAAATAAATAAAAATTAAATATACACAATATTGAGATAGGGAAATAATATTCTAAATAACATACATTATAATATTATATAGATAATAATTATCTAATAAATTAAATATACCAGTGTTGAGTATTTATGTATACAGCAAAGCTATAAAAAAAAATAATAATAATAAATACAATCTTTTAATTGTATACTAACTAATTTTTAAGTCCCCCTCCTTAATAACAAAACAAAACAAAATAAAACAAAAACAAAAACATTAAATACTATAGTTGCAATTCGGAAGGATAAAAAAAATACTTTTCAGACATAGTTAAACATAAACCCTAAATGCATTAAGTAAATATAAAAATAAAATAACAATACTCTAGTAATATAATTTAAAATTGCAGGAAGAATAAATAAATTAAATATGTAACTTATTTTGTAACACATTTATAATAAATATTAKAATTAAAAAAACTCTGTGCAAAAAATAAATTAGTAAAATCAAATGTTTTGCAAAGAATTCTCAAGAAGTAAAAATAAATAAATAAATAATAATAATAGTCATTAATTTCAAAGTGTTTTCTCTTGAAAATTATGGTAGGTAAGAGGTACATACAGCAATGAATACAATGGTTTAGTGTGCATATCACAACAATAAATTACATTGATCAAATTATATGTATTAAGTTGATCAATACATTTTTACCAAACCTAAGCAATTCTGTAAACTTAGGAGGAAACTATGATAACATTTGATGGCACCTTTAAATATTTCTGAATCTATGATAACATTGCGGAACTCAAAAATCGTCATAAATCTGGAAACCTAGATGGATCTTCAACATAATTCGCTGGTACTTCAAAAAGATTAGAATCTATGTCATCGCGAAACTCAAAAGCCTGGAATGTGATCTTAGCAGACACTGTTGGCAGTATTGGAATATCTGTATGAATAAATTTAAATTTAATTACTATAATTGTCCAGGAAATATTTTGTTTTACAAGTATTGTTCAACGATAAATTTAAGAATCTCTATCATAACTTACCTAATTTCACTGGAAACCCTGGTGGTAATTTTAAATTTACAAAATCACGTAGTTTAGCRAAGTGTTTAAATGGAGCAGTAACTTCAAGTACATCCATTAGCATAGCAACTGATAGAGGGAAATCCATACTCTAAAAATAAAAATAATACATTCTAAAAGTTCTTTTCAAAAATTAAAACTGATGAAAGAATTATCATACCATAGCAACTGTTGCTTTAAATCCTCTCGTCGTGTTTTTAAAAACCATTTCTCTTGCCAGGGTTGGGTGTTGTCCCGCTGGAGATGTAAAGTACTCTTTCCATGTACACATTGTAGGCACAGGGGGAAGTAGTGATTCTCTTCTTACAGGCTTAAAAAACAAAATTATGGAATAATTCACCACATAGATGGTCAGACATACTTTAAGTATTAAGTTACTTACTTCCCCATTGCAATCAATACTAATAGCACACCCTCCTTTAGTCAAACTTTCAATGATTGCTTTATTTTTTTGTAGATCTTCTTCGGACAAATGTTCTCTTCGTTTTTTCTGTTCTAATGTTAAGCCATTTATATGATAAAAATCAGCATTGAAATCTCCAATGGTTTCCTGGATTTAAAATTTTTGATTAAAGCAATACAATTCAATTAAGTCAATAGACATTGTGAAATATTCTACCAACGTTAAATAAACAATAAATACATTTTTCTTTTACTCTATAATAGATCATTATGTCTTAGCATTTAACTTATTACATAATATAAAATTCAATATTTATTTTCAACAAAATAAACATTAATTAAATAATTGTTATAGTTAGAGAACAGATTTAAATGCTTTTAAAATTATTTTTAACATTGAAAATATTTGTTTTATAATATAAAATTTTATACATTCTTAAATAAAAATGATTTAATAACACAAAAATGCAGAATAAAAGTTACACTTTTTAATTCTTTGAAAGTATTAAATGAACTTTGTGTTTGGAAAGCAATGTTTTAGGACACTCAGAAAAAATTAATGACTCTTGTGCATGGGCGTGATTTCACTATAAGTACAAACCATGGACAATGGGAGTGACCTTACCGTCGGAAACTAAAAAAGGTAGTCCCCAACAGTGTTTCTTATTTTGAATAGAGTGTAGTTATAATATACATTCATACTTTTCTGTCTTGTCGAAATATCCAACCCGATTGAGCACGAGAAAATGTTATTGATTTCGTAGACATTTGAGCAGTCACTATATCAGTACTCATCATTAAATCAACTTCATCTTCAATCTCTGATTCAGTTTCCTTTAAAATTTATAACTGTAATAGTATTTTTCATAACTGATAAAACTATATAAAAATACTAATTTTCTTACTAAATATCTGACTCTTTGGTAAACACCAGCTTTATTATCCATGACAATAAGAGAATGTGGAGGTTTAGCATCACCATCAAACAAAAATGTGATTTCCCCACGTTCCCATTTCATATCATTCATTGCAAAATCTACTAATGTAGTATCCAATCTAAAAGATGTTCCTTTTTTATGAATCTGACAAAGATCTGAGGGTAGAACTCGAGAAACTAATGGCACTATATTAATTATAAATATTTTTCATGAATATTAGTATTTTAAAAGACATCCATATAAATGTTAAGAAAATATATATAATCAACATTCACCCCAACTTTGGAAGTCCCATTTTATTTGCATATAGAAATCTCCAACTTGTTTCAGTGCAGATACCAAACTAGGTCGCCTTTCTTCAATCTGTTCTCTTGCTTGGTGTTTCATTTTTTTCAATAAAGATATAACTAAATAAAATTCAAAAAGTTTGAGATATCTTTTAAAACCCATAAACATATTTATTTACAAATAATATCATATAATACAAACATTATTTTGTTTTAATTACAGTTTTTCATTGAAACAAGAAATGTTAATTTTTTTTTTTTTTTGAGACTATTTTTATCATGCTCTCAAGAAGACATTTATAGAATTCGATAAAGGGGATTAAAGAGATTTGATTTTTGATAGTTTTTAAAATTATTTATCAGATATGTTAATAATAATTAAAATAAGTAAATAGTTCATAAATATTAGAGAATGTATACAATATGTCAATATAATAATATCTGTGTAACTTAACTTATGTAGTTAATGCATCTACAGAATTTAAAATCTGATCAATGACAACCTTGAAAATATTCTAAACAAAAGGCAATAGCTAGATTTTTTTCGCATCATGACTCGTGACTATGAAAAACTTATATGCAGTAATTTTTCGTAACTTTTAATTTTTAATAATTTTTTATAATATTGTCATCAAGTTTCTAACCACATTCATTCAATGAATAAATAATAAACATTTATATTATATTATATAATATTTATTTCTTCGAATAATTTAAATGAACACTGGAAAAAGACTTCACAAAAAGTCACCTTGAGTCTGAAAAATATACTATAAATAATTAATTAATTTAATGTATTGTGATATCCATAATCAAAAAAAATATAAAAAAAATTGAATTATATTTTAATACAAATAGTAAAATTGAAATAATAAATATTATGGATTATAATAAAAAAAAATAAGAATCAATGATAATAATAAATTTAAAATATTTCGACTTAAATATAGAACATATAAAAATGAATGTCGATGAACAACTTTAAAAAGATTTCTTTAATGTTTCGACCTATTTGTATTAAAAAGTAATTAAAATTAATAGTGCAGTACACGATATTATATATTTTATTTTCTGGTCACACTGTAAGTATATTATCAATATAATCAGTCGTGGACATATAAGGGATAGGGGCCTGGGGAAGTGGGGACTAGGACGGACCGATACTCTGATAATAATAAATATTTTTTTAGTTATAAATTTATAATTGTTGTAAGTATAACTTGTAACTATATAAGTTGTGACTAGTGAAAATGTGAAATACCGAAATAACGTCCTACACGACTCATATCTATTCACATATTGCAAATCGTAATATTTCACATTCACTTCTATCTCTCAGATTTTGTACATAAGTTTTAACTACTTATAAGTTAAATTATACAATTAACTAATAACTATTCTTTTTTCTAAATGTGGTATAATATATATCTCTCCGTAAACATTTATAATTAGTACAGTATAATACTTTAAGTTTGAATTTAAAAATACAGTGGATTAAAATTTTCAAAATGAACAGTGTACGAAAGCTAATGCCATTATGCTCAAAACAAGCATTTTCAGGGAAAAGGTTCTATTCAAATTCAAAAGATTTATCAAAAGATGAGAACAAGATTTTGTACGAAAAACTTTTAAATAAAAACTATAATAGTGAAAAACATACAGAAGCGAGTTCGTTTGCCAAATGGTTAACACCTCATTATAAATATGGACCTTCGCGTATCATGAATTATGATTGGTCCATAAAAAATATGCATTCTTGGTATAAGCGTAAAAGAGTTGAATTTCACAAGTACAATCAACGTTATATAACAGAACGAGTAAAATCACTTGGAAGCGACATAGCTGCGGCACATTTTGTTGTTTATCGAGGCGGTGCAATTAGATTTCGAGGACAAGATGACTTTATAAGTTGGACTAATAAAAAAGAAGAGTACTATATCAATTTACCATTAACTTACGATCCAAATTATTTTGTTGAAGCTATTGATGGATCTGACCTAATGTTTTATTATGAAGGATTAGAAAACTTTAAAAATCTATATAAATTGAAATGGCTTAAATTAAGAAATAATCCAGTACTGGACAATTGGTGCTTAGATTACATAGGGCATGCAATACCTAATTTGGAATATTTGGATATTTCTAATTGCCCTCAAGTAACAGCTGGTGGTATAGCAGGTCTTCAAAAGCTAACTCAACTCAAAACATTGGTGATAAATAGTAATAATATAGAAATCCAAATGGCCTGCTTTGCATTGGAAGATATAATTCCTGGGCTCTTTGTTTTAATACAGGAAAATAAAGATGTTAAGTTACAAACAATGACAGAAAAAATAAATTTGAATGAAACATAGGTAGTAAAAATAATTCATAATAGTTATTTTTATTGTTAATAATAACACTAGCTTTAGCTTTATTTAATAAAAAATTACATGATATTATAAACTTATTAGTATTTGTATTTCTTACTTCCTATTTTTAGTCAAAACAGTGTACATTTGAAGTTCTATACATGATTATAAAAATAGTAATTCATAAAACTCATTTATCACTCATTTAGGGATAATACTCAATGGAACATATAAACAAAATGTATTGATAAGGTTTATTTAATTATTCAAAGGCCGAATCGTCCATGTATATTTTTAAAAAGAAGTTCACTAATATTTAAAATAGTTAACAAGAACATTCAGTGTTTAATTCACGAGATTTAATGGTAAAACGTAAATACGAAAAAAGTTACGTATGACTATACCAAGTTCTTGTACTGAATAATTTAATATACATAAATATGTTTGTAGCTTTTAAAAGTAAATAATATGTAGTTTTGTTCATTAAGTTGGACATAATTGAAAATACTAATGAACTTTGGTTCAACTAGAAGAAATAATGATAAAATAGATACCTATCTAACTAAGTTGTTTTGGTTAATAATTAATATTAAATTTCACTATTATAACTTGGGGTAAGAAAAGATTATATTATTTAATGTAATATATCAAATGAGTTAGATTGAAAAAAAAATATTTAGAAGATTGTAACATTTGCATAGAAGTTAATAATAAGAGTTAATAATCAATTTTATTTATCGACTAATACGCAATACCTATATAATAATGCTCGCAAAGAAGCTATATTAATATATTATTAAGTATGTTAGGTAACTCAAATACATTAATATAATACTATTTAATAAGTTAATCGCATGTTAGTAAAAACAAACAATTAACATAATACCTAATTAAGAACAACAAATCTTTGATATCTATAAAATCATTATATTTTATGTGTCTCACTGTCAGAAGTAAGTACCTACCTATTTTAAATCAAGCAATAAATGAACTTACTAGTAAGACGATCTCCATAGCTAATTGCTTCAGACAATGGCGTCCATCCATTTATGTTTTTTACCTTTACTGGTGCATTGTGAGCAAGCAACAATTGTACTATATCTGAAATGTATTCCAGACGAATAGTAATTATTATTAGTATCGTGTTAATGGACGACAGGCGGTCATGAGATATAATCGATAAGAGTATTATCGATAATATCTCACCTCTATGCCAACAACCAATAAACCTACCTTTACGACCGAGCATGATGGCCAGATGCAGAGCCGTGTTACCTGCAACAAACAAATGTAATAATGAAACAATATATTCTGTGGTCACGTAACATGCGAGACTAAAAGTAATGATTAATTATTGTTGGTACCACAACGCTACCGTACCATGTTTGTCTTTCCTCGATAGATCTTCTGTCCTCATCATCCGTGCGAACTTTTGTACATCACCTTCGAACACGCATTCGTGCAGTGGATACGACAAGTTCTGTTCTTCCGCCATACCACTGCTGCCGCTCATCGGAATGTCCTGGTCCAATTATTTTTAATTACCTGTGTGCATAGTGTTCCATATTATTATTGTTTTGTTACTTTGTTGTTGTCTATCATCGTATTTGTCTAAATAATAATAAATAATAATTGACAATTATTGTGAGTTCGCCGTTTGTACGGACGTACGGTGTAAAAAATTATTATCAATGTTATTCCAACGTCCGAAACAGTGATAACAAAATCACAGAATAAATTTATTTTGTGACAAACATTTGTGGGCAAATCAAGGCTGATAAGAGAGAAACTGCATCTTATGATAAGTGATAACGTCCAGTTTTATATTTTTGAAAATTTAGTCGTCGATATAGGTACTAACTGTTAACCTATACGTTGCAGACTTGCAGTGTGAGTGCAAAATAATTTTTACTCACTCGCTGTGCATCATGGTGAGTTGGTGGCACGGCACACAACTTTTACGATTCACAACATTCTTATTTCTCAAACAGTGGCGATTTAAACTTTATTACAGCCTGCAGGGGTCTAAGGGTTTTTATTTCTTCAACATTTTAAAAAAAAAAAAAACTGCCCACTGACCATAATATTTATAATAGAAATATGTATTTTTCAATACACACTATTATATACATAAAATGAGTTCGTGGGTCTGAAGGAAAAGATCAGGACGATCAGGTGGACTATGGGTTGAAGACCAAACTCTTGATATAACATGTTGATAAAATTGACGCTMCCGAATAAAAATATATGATTCCACTCATCTTCATTTCTATCGCAAAATACTTCATTATTGATAACCCATATGGCCATATACGCTATTGTAAATCTTTTTATTATATAGAAATAGTGCAATAGCATTGGTAGTCAGGCCCGGATTGAACCGGCGAGCTACCGAGAAAATCTCGGTGGGCCGCGTAAAAATTCAAGATCAGTATTATATCAAACACTGATATAAACTAGAATGATTTAAAATAATAATATAATGTATTTTATCTATATACAATACACGTATATAGACAAATATATATACGTCATATAATTATATAAATATATTATATATATAAACGAAAATTAAATTTTAAACTTATAATATTATAAAAAATCGTCATACTACTCATACTTAGGCCATGACTCATGAGTGATAACTGATTAGTATAAAATGAAATGTTTACAAATTGCATAAATCCAGGCGATCTATATTATATTATCTATATTATCTATCTTATATTTTGCGTTTTTTTAAATAATATAACTGAAGTATACTAAGTAATTTAATGTAATGTACCTATTGAATAGGTAATTTGTAAATGTGCTTTAGAGAAACAATTATTATTTAAAGCACAAATACTAAAAGAGTGGTCATATAAAATGTTTTTTGAATGGGCTGATACTTTGTTGARGACCGGTAGAAATTTAAAATCTCGGAGGGCCGAAAAGTCTCTGTCTGGCGCTGAATTGGTAGTTAAGAATTTTTTTTATACATTATATAGTGGTTCTTCCTTAAAATTTGACAAAGTATTAATCATATATGATTTTTGAACAATTCACATCATACATCATAGAGTATAGACTAAGCCCATGTCATTACATTATTTATTGTTAGTCTCCCATTCACAGTGGTTGGGACTCCAATTATAAGTTATAGGTACCTATTTATATTTTGGTACTTATATATTTAAATWAATTAATGTCTATAATTATCGCGTGAACAATAATTAAATAGAAGTACGCTTGTCGTTGGTTCAAAATGAAAAAAATAAATATATTCTATTAGATAAAAAAAAATATTTTTAATACATGCGAGGTCTTACGTACTTTTATTTTTGAGTGAAAATCAAAAAAACACATCAACTTTCATGAAATAATAATAGTYACAGATTCCGTTCTTTTGTTTTTTATAAACAACATTTAATATAAAAATGTATTAAAATAATAATATTATTTTAACTAAAAAATAAAACAGTATACACATATCCAAAACCAGAAGTTCGCAGAATTGCACAATAAAATATATGAAATATAGAGATGTAATGATAATCTACCCATACCTTGCTCGTCAAAGAATTTTCTAGATTTCTGGGRAAAGTCTCTCACAAATAGAAAAGTCGATGAGTTACAAAGTAGTATGAATTTTCCTAAAACCCTATTGAATTTATTATTTTACAACAATAATCATGTTTTTATAACTTATTTATATATTTTTACATTTCAAAAATATGTAATTGTATTTTTTCTAAATATGTTTTGATTACAAGAAAWATATTTGAAATTTGTATGTGAATGTATACTAAGTTATTTTTGATCAGTAACAAAAAATAAAATTTTTAAAATTAGCATTATCTAAAATGTGTATACCTCACTACCACACATGGTCCATTGTTACTTTATAATATAGATCTGGCAACCTACTAGGYACATATTATGTCAAGAGCTATAACTCATATATCTTATGAYTATAGCAATATAGCCGATTAGCTTGTTATATAACTACTTATAGAACATGTTTTCTCAGAGGTAACGAAACGGATTCCTGACTGATTACTATAACGGCATATGAAGTTTCTCTAAYGTCAAAACGAAAATGTATTATTAGACTATGTATTATTTGTAAAAAAAGTCAGTTAGTGACAGGGGAAAACATTTTAGTTAATAGTTTTGACATAAAATTATTGACAAAATAATTTTAGGTTAATCGTTTGCTCATGGTATACCCCAAAGAATTCGTGCTTGCGAAATATTAAAATTAAAATATRGTTTAAATTTTAAATTACGATAACACGGCATCTTGTATAGGCAATTTAGCTACACGCCTGTCGAAGATCCATTTATATTTTATTAATTCAATAAATTATTTTCACTAATTTTTTTAATACAGTCTTTAAATTATATATTTACAATATATATATACTACTCTTACTGGTATTTATATTGATGTAATGTAAACTTTAAAATATKGGTATCTTTGTAAACTATTTCCAAAAAAATGTTATACTTATTGAAAATCGAAATGCCAATAACCATAATACATAAATAGTTATTTTTACAGATTTAAAAAAAATAGTGTATAACTTATTTAATTTTTTATAATAACACGGTGAATGTTTATATATGACAACATTTGTTTTTATTATTTAAATAGATAATGCATACAGGGACACAGGGTACAATGGTGCATATTATATAGATATATTAATTATTATGTAATAATTATGTTGTTTTTTATAAAATATTTATAAATACATATATTATGCTATGCCATAAATAATATAAATAATATAAAATATTTATAAATACATATATTATGCCATGTATTGTTACAGTCAGAATTCGATCTTTCAATTACATGTATACTGTATAGTGTATACATAACATATCAATATAATTATATTTATATTAGAAACATCTTACTACATTTTATGTAAAACACATTTCATCCACACAAATTATATAAATAATAATACAAATGTGAACAAATATAAAATATATAATTTAATAAAATAAATAAATATGATACATCTAAAATTAAATCTATAATGTAATACTGTAGACTCAATTTTAAAAGACTCAGACCATTATCATAAAACTTGATATTTTGTAGAATATGATTTTATATGATCGAGTCTTATAAAATCAGGACTCAGTTGTATAGAACTCGATACATATTACCACTGCACCTGCAGTAAASAGTACAATGATGAATATAATAAATTAAATTAAATATAATATACGGGTAGGTTTCATACATGATACATTTATTTTAATTTATTAGTTGACAATTGAAATATGAATATACGAGTTACGGAAAATCTAATATGGAAAAAATTTAAAAAGAAACTAAATTTTTTTGTTTCATATAGTTTTTATGTAATACCTATACATGATAGTGAAATTTAATTATAATAATCATCACCTTGAGCGATTATTCTAAGCATAAATAAGAAGTAAGAACCTATACTATATTTTTGTCKGTAGACATATTCTGGAATATATTATGTACCTAAGTTATTATTTTGGTCAGTTATTGATACAATTAACTATTTTAAGTCCGTATAATATTTATGGATGTGTAATTTTATATAGATAATCGTTGAACATTAACTTAAAAYTGTACGTCTACTTATCTGTATAAAATCAATACATTTTACCTAAATTTCACATAGATTTTGCACATGTATTGGCTACATTCAGAAACAGATCCAGTAAATGATTCTTTGAAAACGTGCGCTAATTCATGTTTCGAAATAATTATTTTGGCCATGCTGCAAATAAAAACATTTAAAAAAAACATATAATTAGTAAAAACACACAGCAGTAAAATATAGTGCACGTGCACACATATAGGTAGKTACTGCAATTTACAAAATTATTGATTGCTAATGTATTACATAATAAGATGACCTAAAAGCCATTTCTGTACTAATGAAAATTCGCCTATACTGCTTCGTGGAGTTTTATAAAAAGGTACTAAGCCACTTTTTTGAAAACGTAAATGTTATACTATAATGATGGGACGACGAGACCTAAAATAAAACGTAATTGAACTCGCTTTTACTTTTTTACGGACGTATGTATTATATTAATATATTGTTACATTAATGTAGACATTTTTAGTGAATTATTTTTTGCAGTGCACAGTCATAGCAAATCTGTCATTTTCAAGGCAATAATATTTCAGATGTAAGTAACARGACTAGATTTAAAAATTAATTATAAATAAATATTTTTCATTAATTTATTAAGTGCCCCTTTTTTCAAACACCAATCCCATGAAGGTCACACTAATACACTATACTATGTATTAAAATTTAAAACAATTTTATTTATATAATAGATATAATGATGGTATACGATATATTATTACCGTAGAGCAGAAAGAGCTAAGGGACTGCTGGCCACTTGAAGTCCGGCCTCGCAAATAATTCTCTGAAAACACGGTCTGTCGTCGTTGACTGCATCGTTGACCGCCGCAGACAGGATGTCCAAGTATCCGGATATCTGACGACCACCCRCGAACCGGCCGTCATCCACGTGGTCCTTCATCATGGCGTACATGTGAATGTAATGCGCTATTCTGGGCAACACTGATGTGCGAAACAAGTACGAAGCGGCCATAAAGAAGCCGGTGGCGAATAACGGCTCGAAAATTCTGTCCAAGAGAAACCGGCCGATCGCA